TATAATAATACATTTTTTCCTGGAAACACTTTTCCTGACAATCATGTGGCACATTTTAAAAACAGCCCATAGCCAGGCATTGTGGCACATGCCTATATTTCTTGCATTTTAGGAGGCTGAGAAAAGAGGGTTGCAAGTTTGAGCTCAGCCTAAGCAACTTAGTGATGGAGTGAGACCCTGTCTCAAAATAAAAAAGTAAAAGGGCTGCAGATATAGCTCAGTGTGAAGACCCTGAGTCAATTCCCAGTACCAAAATAAAACAAAATAAAAAAAAAACAGCCCTTGGGGAAAAGAAAGAAAGGAATGGAATTAATATGAGAAAATAAAAAATAAAGGAAACAAAGTCTTTGTAGATAGGGAGGGAGGGAGGGGTTGAAGGGAGGGCAGGGGAACAGGGAAACATAAGAAACAAAATTGATTATGTAAACAAATTTCCAACAATGAATGTCATTATATTATATAGATTAAATGTACCAATAAAATTAATTTTTAAAAAACAGCCCTTATGTCATCTTCAGGACATTTTTTCTTATCTGCAGATATAATGGAAGTATATGGTAAGCAAGTTTTATTTAGGGCATTAAAATTTACAGATACCATTTTGGAAATGTGCTTTTTTTTCCGGAAATGTGCTTATTTTTAATAATGTTTTTAAGAAATTGAGTTCCCTTTGCCTCTCGGTTATGTATTTATAAGACCTCACAATAGGAAATGGCACTTCATTTCATTATCTCAGATTCAAAGTTTGGAATGCAAAATCTCAAAGAATTTAGAGGTGCCATAACCTGAATACACACCCTCAAACTTCACACTCAACCTTGGAATAAAAATCCTTAAAGATTTCACACCTTGAATACAAACCAATCCCCAAGGCTTAAAATACAGACATTCAAGAGCCCAGAGACTACATACCCTGATATACATCTTTTAAATGCCTCAGTTATATATTTTTATTTTAATTTATTTTTAAACTGGTAAATAAAAACATAAAATTGTATATATTTATGGAGAACCATGTAAAAAATACACAGATCCTTAAAAGTTCAGAAAAACCACACTGGACTCATATCTCAAAAGTCTCATATTTGGACCATGAGACACACACCAAAAATATATAGGCACCTTACATTCTGAACACAGCCCTTATATACCTGAGGTCAAGAACTTGAAAAACAGACTGTCAGAAGATTTTCAGGAAAATTGTACTTTGGAAACAAGGTGACCAACACCTTAAATTCACATCTTGGAACACAGATCCTCAAAATGTTCTGAGAATTCATATTCTGCCCAGAGTACTCCAAATGCTCAAGTCTCAAAATTTGGCACTTAGGCCTTGAAAGACTTTGGAGAATTTACACAACTTGAACACAAACCCCCAAACACCCACAATTAAAACGTAGAAAAAATAGACTCTCAGAGATTCCAGAGACCTCACATCCTGAATACTCACCCCTAAATACCTCATATTGAAAATTTAGAATTCTAGGACATCTAACAGTTCAGAGACTTCACACTTGAAACTCAGTCCCTAATGTCCCAAGTTCAAATCTTTGAAGAAGCCCTAAACAGTTTTAAAAGAATGCGTCAAATACCTCAAAATCAAACCTTAGAAACCTTGAAAAAATTTATTTGTACCATAGAACAAATATCTTAGATTCAAATCTTGAGAGAGAGCTTCTAAAATTTGGGAGGTCATATCCTGAAGGTCCTCTGGCACCTCAAACTGAAACTTTGGAACACAGTAAATCAAAGAACTCATAGACCTCACTGTCTCAACTAAGCCCCTCTTTGGAGATTTACAAAGTATTAGGATAATTCAAACCTTGAATATATCTCAGATCTACAAATACCTCAGACTCAAACTTCATGACATGGTTTCCCTAAGAGACTCCATACCTTTAACCAAATGCTCAACGAGAGCTTAGAAATGAGGGACTTCATGCCCTGGACAGAGACTCCCAAATACCTAAGACTAAAACCATAGAACACAGAGTTTCAAGAATTTCAACTTACCTGGGCCAGGCAGGTAGCACATGCTTATGATCCCAGCACTCAGGAGGCTGAGGCAGAAGGATTGTAGGGAGTTTGAGGCCAGCCTGGGCCACATAGTGAGTTCAAGGCCAGTCTGAAATGCGTAGCAAGACCCTGTCTCTAAAAACCAAAAAGTGAGGGAGAAAAGAATTTCAATCTAACACCCTTAATATCAATATATATTAAAATACCTCAGATACAAACTTTGGATCAAAGTTCCAAAACCTCATATTCTGAACTCACATGGCAGATATTTAGTTGACAACTTGGTGTATAGGTCCTCTGAATTCAGAGATCAAATACCTTAAAGACAAATCTACCTTAATAAGTCAGTCTCAAATCATGGAAAATATACTTTCAAGGATTTTAGCAACCACGTCTTGATGCCAGATCCTAAATATCTCAGTTCTCAACATGAGAACAGAAATCAACCATCAAAGCATTTAAAAACCTTACACCATGAGCAAAATCCCAAATATCTTAGCCATTCTTTGGAAAATAGATCCTTAAAGATTTCAAAAATCTAACTCCTTGTACACAGACAACCAAATGCTTCAGATTAAATTCTTGTAAATACAGACCCTGAATGAGTACTTCAGATTCAAGCCTTCATCCTGAAAAAATTCAGAGACCTCACAGGCTTAGCATAGATCTACAATCCCAGATACTATCGTAAGTACACAGACTTTCAAAGAATTCAGATTCATAACAACCTCACCACATACGTGCAACTTCTGATTCAAACCTTGGATCATAGACCATTACAAGACCTTAGAATTTAGATATCACACCCTGAACACCAACCCCCAAATGCCACAGATTCACATGTTAGAATATAGGTGGTCAAAGATTTCAGAGATTTCAAATCACAACACAGTATTCCAGAATCTTGGAATAATCTGAAACAGTGCAAGTTTCTCACATCCTGATCCAGGACACTCAAATGCATCAGTCTCAAACTGGAAAGACTGCCCAATTTCAGATATCATACACTGAACATAGACCCCAAATACCTTATCTCAAACTTTGAGACAAAGAGCATCTAAAGGTTCAGAGGTCTTATATGCTTTTTAGCACTTATCCTCAAATATCTCAAGACTTCAACTTTGTAAAACAAAGTCCATAACATTTCGGATGCCTCACTGGTTGAACACTACACCCAAATACTTCAGAGTCACACCTTGGAACACAGATTGCAAAGCATTCAGAGTCTCACATCCCATACCAGTTCAAACCTTAGAACAGAGAAACTGAAACAATTAAGAGAACACTTATGTTGAAAATAACCTCTCATTTACTGCACTCAAATATTGAAATTCAGAACTACAAAATATTCAGAGACTTTCTTTATACCCTTAACTGAGACCAACAACCTCAAACTCTAACTCTGGAATACGGACTATCAAAGAGTTCACCGACCTTATACATTGAACACTGGACTTTAGACACTTAAGAATAAATTCTTGGAAAATAGATCAATAAGCTTAGAGAACATACACACTGAACACAGATTCCTTGTCATAGTAGAGTCAAACTTTGGCCAAAGATCAGCAAAGTGTTTAGAAATGTCTAATCCTGAACTCACAAACCAATGCATCAAAATTAAACCTTGGGACATGCACACTAAAAGAGTTCAAAGAATTCCTACCTGAGCATAGACCACAGAATACTTTAAATTAAATGGTTGGAGCACATACAATGAGTTGGATCACCTACCACTGCCTGAATACAGAATTCCAAAAACCTCTGAACAAAACTTTGACCAAAAATCCACAAAGAATTTGTAAACTTGGGACAAAAATCTTCGAAGTGTTCAGAGACTTCACATTCCGAGGTCTGGAACACAGATTTAAATATCTGTTTCCAACCTTGCAACACAAATTGTAGCATTCTGCAGTCCCAACCTGAAGAAACACCCCCAAACAACTCAGATACAATATCTGGAGTGTGGACCCTGAAGGAGTTTATAGACTTCATCCTTAGAACATAAATTTCCGAACACCTCAGGCTCAAACTTTGTAACAAAGATCTTCAAATATGTCTGAGTAATGAAAACTGAAATAACTGAGATTCAAACTTGGACTGCTGAATCCCAAAGAGCTCGGGGACCTCTTATATTGAACATAGAACCCCAAATACCTCACCTTCAGTATTTAAACCACAGGTTCTAAAAGATCTATGAGCTCTGAAAGCCTGCACACATTCTGACACTAGACACTCAGAACACTGAGCACAGATGCTCAAAGGTTCCAGAAACCTTACATCTTAAACACAGACCTGAAAATACATCAAGTTGAAATCTCAAAGACTTAAAAGACCTCACACTTCAAAGACAATTTCTAAATGCCTCAGAGCGAATACTAGGAAAAGGACCTTCTGGAATTAGAGACCTCACACCCTATAGAAACACTTTCAAAGATCTAAGATTCTGTGTAACACAGACCCTCAAAGAAATCAGAGACCTCATATCCTAAACACATATTTGCAAATATATTATAGACCTTCAAAAAGCGTTCAGGGATATTACAGTCTAATGTTTCATACTCAAACATTGGAATAATACCTTCAAAGAATTCCAAGACTTTCCAGATTTCTCATCCTAACATAGACCTGGAAATGTATGAGCTTTTATATCCTAACATAGATCCACAAATACATAAGGCTTAGAACCTTAGGACATAGAGCCTCAAAGAGATAAACCTCATGCTTTAAACAAAGAGGCCAACATACTTTAGATTAAATCTTGTGAAAAAAGACCTTCAAAGAGCCAGACACTCTCTCCCTTACATACATTTCTGATCCTGCAACAGAGCTGCTTAAAGAGTTCAGAATAGAGACTCCCCAAATAGATCAGATTCAAAATTTGTATGACAAACCCTCAATGATTTCAGAAACCTCACACCCTAAATACAGATTTCCAAATACATTAATTAAAACTTTAATACAGAGGACCTCAAAGAGTTCAAACCTCACAGCCTAAAAACAGACACTTTAAACGTCACACTCAAAAATGTTCAAAGAGCCTCAAAAAACATCATGGTTCTCACACTATGAACTGAGAACCAAATGACTCATAGGCAGACATAGAACACAAATCCTCAAATAGCTCAGAGCTCTCCTGCCTTAAACATTTACCTCAAATTCTTCAGACTAAAATCAATCTATCTATCTATCTATCTATCTATCTATCTATCTATCTATCTATCTATTTTGGGGGGTGGTTGGGAGGGACAGGGATCAAACTCAGGACCCTGCGAGGCAGGCGGCAGCACCACTGAGCTAAATCCCTGGCCCTTCAGACTAACATCTTTAAAAGTAGACCCTGCTGAGTCCATAGAGCATGTACCCTGAACACAGACCTCAAAACATTTCAGACTGATACATTGGCAGAAAATCCTTAATGAAAGAAGGGACTTTACATCAGAGTCCAAAATGTGTCGCATTCAATCTTGGAACACAGACACCAATAGAACTTACACTCTGAATACAGACCCTAAGTTCTTTACATTCAAATTTTGGGACACAAACCCTCTAAAATTTCACAGACATAACACACAGAATCCATATACCCTCAAATCTCAGGCTTGACTCTTGGGAAATAGCCATTATATAATTTTACATATTTCATGGCTTGCACAATGACAACCCAAAACTCCAACTCAAACCTTAGAACACAGGGTTAGTAACAGTTCAGAGACTTCATATTCCCAAATATCACTAACTAAACATTTGAGACACAGACCCATCAGAGTTTAGAGACTTCACAGTTTGGGTAAAACCTATCCTCCCTAGAACTCACATTCAAACTTAGAATACATATACTGTAATAATTCAGAGATATCATACCAGAACACACACCCCACCATTACTTCAGACTGGAAAATATGGGGCAAAGACCTTCAAAATATTCAGAAATCTAATACTTTGCACAGAGGCCTTGGAACACATAAAATTAAAATCTGGAAGTACAGATGCTCAGCTTAGTGATTATACAAACATAATGCACTGAATACAGACCCCCACCATTACTTCAGACTCAAACTTGGAGCACAGATTATCAATGTGTTTTGAGTCTTCAAAGCCTAAATCTCCTGTATAACAGAACCAGACCCTGCACACTGACCCCAGACCTCACAAACCCCCTCAAAAAGGCTAGAGATCATCTTAACACAGATAACCTTCAGATTCAAACTTCAGAATACAGACAATAAGCTCATATTTCTCTCATTTATTGAACATAGATACACCAGTGTCTCTGATTAAATGGTGGAGCATAGGCCCTCAAAAACTCAGAGACTTTGCACTCTAAACAAATCCCTAAACATCACATAGTCAAACTTAGAACATGGACTTTGTAAGAGTTCAGAGACATGACCTCCTGAACAGAGACACCAAAAGCCTCAAAATAAAATTTGGGATAAAAATTTTCAGACTTCATAGACCTCGCACCTTGAACTCCAACACAAACATGCCAGACTATAGCTTTGGAACATAGATTCTGAAAGAGTTATATGACCATTCAACCAATACACATACCTCCAAATACTTCACTCAATATTTAGAACTCAGTTCTCCAAGCATTCATTGGTCTCAGAACTACAACATAAACTTCAAAATACTTCAGACTCAAATATTGTGGCACAAAGCACAGGAGACTCTCAACGGAACACAGATCATGAATAATTCAGACTCAAATTGTGGTCACAATCCCTCAGCATGTTAAGAGCTCTCAACTCTGCTCAAATAGTTCATATATCTCATATTAAAATATTGAAACACAACCAAGACATATCACGTAAAGGTACAAGATCCCAATGATAACTTCCTCCTCTTCAGTAAAGTCATTTTTGCTATTGAAGGTCTTGCAGATCTCCTCAGGAGTTTTCCCCTTGATCATATTGGCACCAGTCTTGCATGTAACATCAAGCAAATCTTTTTTTTTTTTTTTGGTTTTTTTGAGACAGGGTCTTACTATATAGTTGTGACTGACCTGGAACTCACTATACAGCCCAGGCTGCTTGTGAACTCGCATCGATCCTCCTGTCTCAGCCTCCTGAGTGCTGGGATTACAGGCGTGAGGCATCACACCCGGCTAGCAAATCTTTGATGTCCAGGTAGTTTGCTGCCACAATAAGTTCAAAAAGGGTTCCTTGATCAACATTCAGGAATTCTTGGTCCCAAACAGGGATATCATCAATCTGTTCACTTTTTTTTTGTTGTTGTTGTTCTTGTTGTCTTCAGGAGGAAGACGGTCATTGTTTTGGTGGGTACACCACTGAATGAGCTTTTTAAATATTGCTGCATTAACATGTGGTAGAGGAGCTGGGTCATCATTTCCTTCATCATCCATTTCCAAATCCTCCAGCATGGCCTTGATTGTCACAGACTGTTTGGCAATTTCAACATCAACTTCAAATATCTCTCCATTGGAACTCTGCGACTTAATTGAAGGAACAGTGCTTCGTCTCCAGAGGACGATGGGCCCGAGGGGTCTGGGAGCAGGTAGATGAGGCCAGACAGGGGAAGACTATGTGGTTTTTGCATGGAAAAATAGTCTTCCCTGAAGCCTCTCATAATCCTTTCCTTACTGAATTACACTCCCATTTTCAGTCAAGACGTTTTCCCCTTACTAGTTTTCTACTGATATCTATACATTTAACTGCACAAATGACAAAAACACTACACCAACTTTCAAAAGATTGATCCATTTGTCAGTGGACTTCTCCTCAGACTAAAGTCTGTCCTCTTCCTTTTCCTATACACCAGGCTAAGGCCATCTGCCAGCTAAAGATTGGCAAAAAGGGGCCGGGGATTTAGCTCAGTGGTGCCGCTGCCTGCCATGCAAGCGCAAGAACCTGAGTTCAATGCCCAGTACCAAAAAGAAAAGAAAAGAAAAGACCCTGGACTTGTTTTCTGAAGCTGCAGGACACAAAAAATAGAATACATTTTATTTTTTTAGTAGATTGTTTTTTAGATAGTCTTGCTATGTAGTTCAGGCTTGCCTTGAACTGACTATATAGCCCAAGCTGGCCTTGAACTCACAGTGATCTTCCTGCCTCAGCCTCCTGAGTGCTAGGATTATAGGAATACCATCACACCCAGCTTAAAAGTACAATTTTTAAAATCTCTATTTTCTTGTCTCACTTTTAATCTATTTTTTACTTTTTCTATCCTACCTCAGCCATCCAACATTTGCAACCCAGACTCCAAAGGATTAACAGATCTCACACTCTGTGTGTTACTTTATTTTATGTTTTGGTACCAGGGATCGAACTCAGGACCTTGTGCTTGCGAGGCAGAGAGTGGGCTAAATCCCCGGCCCAGTGTGTTACTTTAGAAACACCTCACTCAAACATTTTGGGGCAAATCCTGAAATATTTCAGGCATCATACCTCCTGAACATCTGTTGTCTCAGATGCAACATTGGACTACAGAACTTCAATGAGTTCAAAAAATGTAATGCTTTAAAAAATAACTCATGTGTCATACAAACATTAAAATACATACCTTAAAAGATTTGCGAGGGCTTACTCCCAGAGCATAGACACAAAATGCCATTGTTTCAAATTCTGGAAAATAAACAGTCAAATATTTAACAGAACTGAAATTCTAAACAAAAATATGAAAATATATTAAATTCATTACTATAGGGCATAGAACCTCACAGAATGCAAAGGCATTACCCTACAAAAACAGATGTGCAAATATCTCAGATTCAATCTTATATTTCAAAGAAAGATCTTCAAAGAGTCAGATAGTTTATATCCTGACCACACACCAACAGACTCCTAAGACCCTGTGTGGGTGCGTATAATAAATAATCTCCTATAAATCTTTAGTTGAAACTTATGGGAAGATGGCAGAGCAGTGAGCTGTGGCAAAACGACCTCTCTGAGATTCAGAATCCAGACACTGGAGTATAGCAACTTTCTGAAGAGAAGGAGAGAGGTGGATCCCTAGGACCCAAGGAGGATCTGAAGGGAGAATTAGAGCCCATAGGGAGAGTGAAAAAAGGGCCCTCAATGCAGAAGAGGGAGGTGGCAAATGGCACTTTCTCCCTGATCATGGATAGCAGTGTGAGAGAGGTGGCTCAAATCTAGAGGTACAGCGATTTCGGGTAACTCAAGAGGCCTCTAAGAAGAAATGTAACAGTGGAACAGAGCAGTGGATGTTGCAGGCTGCAGCAGCTGGTGAATGACTCTACTCCGAACATCTTCAGGAGAGAGTGATTGACTGGACGCCACTTGGGGAAGTGTAAACTAAACTTGGGACTCAGAGCAGCCATGGAGTGGTTTCATTTGGGGCTCCCAGTGTCTGCATGAGGTGCAGTCCTGAGAGATTTCCAGGGTCGGTAAGCTGAGTTCAAGATGGCAAGAGACACCCAGAATGTTTTGGGCTGAACAACAGCAATCCAAGCCTCACAGCCAGAGACTAAGATCACCCTAAATTTTTATGGAGTTGAAAGTACAGGTTTGTTAAGATTATTCACTACCCTGCCTTAATTGTACTGTAGGCTTGCTGGGATCATCCAGCATGGATCTGGGCTCTATCTGCCTCTTTTTTCTACCAGTGGCAGCAGAGACATACCATCAGGTAGATATTTTTTCTTTTCTTTGATTTTTTCTGTTTTTCCTGATTGCTATTGTTTTCTTATGAGTGTGAACACTGCTTTTCATTTTTTGTTCTTGTTTTTGTTTCTTCCTTCTTTCTTTTCTTTCTATCTTCTTCACTAGTTTCAGGGTGTCCTTCAGCCTTTCTTCTAATCTCTTTCTCTTCTTCTAGTTCTCTATTTTTTCCTCTTGTTCCTTTAGTTTTTCCCCTGCAGGTAAAATCACTTTGTTGACTGAATATTTACTGTATATAATTTTTTGGTTTGTTTTAGACTTTGTTATATAATTTTAAATCTTGTTCCTATGGTAAAAGGAAGCAAATTAATAGCTATCACAGTTTGCCATTTTGTAGGCTGTGCTTGATGCTACTGTTATTATTGATCATACTTTTTAGCCAAGGTGACACAACTGTTTTGATAAATTGATCTTTCTTGTAGGCCAATACTGAGATTATCTGAGGCTCATAAACAATACCCTAGTCTAGTACTTAAGAACTAGGTGGTAGGCCAAATAGACAGCAACTTCTAATCCCCAATAGATGGAAGAGGTAGGATCTTGACACAGACTCAAAAGCAAAAAGCCAGCAAAACCTAGAAGACGTATCTGAAAAGAAATCATTTCCTAAAGAGAATGCAATAGTAATAATTATGCTACTTACCATATGCAATATGCAAACATCAACACAAAAAGTAATTTTAAAAAAGAAGAAAAAAAGAGAAAATAAGAAGACCTGGAATGAAAATGCAACCCCAGACCTCCAGTTCAACCGAGGGAAATCCAGGAGGCAATGAGATGGAAGTAATCAAAAGCCACCCAGCTGAACCTGATGAAATGTTAACAGCAGAAGTAAACAGAGCAGATGCATGGGGCTCTAGAAAAAATCAAATCAGAAGTCATTTCTCAGATAACTAAAGAGATGATGACCATAATGAAGGACATGGCTAGTGAATCTGGAATAGATACAGATTGAAATATTGTGGAACTTAGGAAAATGATGGAAACCATGAATGTTAACATAGGAAAGAAATAGATTCCTTGGAACAGGAAGATTAAAACAGGAGATTAAAAATTTTATTGAAAGTATATACAGAAAAATCAACCAATGAGAAGACAGAATATCAGATCTAGAAGACAGGTTTGTGGTTAGCAATCATCAAAAGAAAGACTTCTTACAAATAGCAAGGGACCATGAAAAGTTAGTCCAACAGCTTCTAGATGATGCAAAGTAGAACACCATAAGATTAACTGAAGTCAATGAAATGCAGAAGATACACAAATGACATAAAAACCCTGTTCACAGAAGGAATGGGAAGTAAGAAAACTTCCCAAGCATGGAAAAAGAATAAGACATACAGAGAACAAGGCATGCAGAACTCCAAATAGCTGTGATCAGAAAAAACACCAAGGCATATAATAGTCAAGATTATAGAAATTCAACACAGGAACAGAATATTAAAAGCTGTTAGAGAAAATAAATCACCTATTAAGGAAAGTCCATCAGAATCACAACAGACTTCTCAAAACAGACTCTTCAGTCAAGGAGAGCTCAGAGTAAAGTATTTCAAGCCTTAAAAGAAGACAATCTCCAGCCCAGATTGATGTATTCTGCAAACTATCTTTCAAAATTGATGGAAAAATAAGATATTTCTTTGATAAAGAACATTTCAAGAAATTCATGCCCACCAAACCAGTACTCCAAAATATTCTGAAAGACATTCTAGAAGGAGATAGCAAAGCCAACAATTCCATGAACCAATAAAATTTTGTCATTGTTTTTGAGCAATTAATTAATTAATTAATTAATTTTAAAATGTTATTATTACTATTTTTTTGGTACCAGAAATCAAACTCAGGACCTTGCACTTGCAAGGCAGGCACAACACCACTGAGCTAAATCCCTGTCCCAAGGCAAGCAAATAAACAGAGGGGAAAATTAGGGACTCAACAACAGGAAAATAATATGACAAGGATAAATCAACATATATCAGTTATAACCATCAATATAAATGGTTGCAATGCACCAATCAAAAGAAACAGATTAGAAGAATGGATCAAGAAACAAGATCCAACAATATTTTGCACACAAGAAACATATGTAACTCAAAAAGAAATTTGTAGACTAAAAGTCAAAGGAAGAAAAACAATATTTATGCAACAGGAACCCAGAAGAAAGTACATGTGGCTATTCTACTTGCAGACAAAGTGGATTTCAAGCTAAGACTGAACAAGAGAGATAAGGTCACTACATACTTGTTAAGAGAATAATCCAATAAGAAGAAATAACAATCATAAATATATATGTACCAAATATCAGTGCACCAACTCTATAAAATAAACATTAATTGGCATGAATAATGAAATAAGCACTAATATAATTGTAATAGAGGACTTCAATACCCCACTGTCACAAATAGATATATCAACTAGACAAAAAAATCAACAAAGAAATATCAGATAGAGTACTGTACTTTATTTGAGCTGAACTAAATCTTTGAACAAATGGACTTAGTAGTTATCTACAGTATGTTCCACCCCATAACAACAGAATACATGTTCTTCTCAGATGCACAAGGAACTTTTTCCAAAATGGGCCACATATTAACTCATAGAACATGCTTAATTAATGCAAAGGAAATGAAATTATCCCATGACTATTATCAGATCATAGTGCAATGAAATTACAAATCATTGGCAAATAAAACCACGTAAACTGCATAAGTACATGGAAATTAAATAATACTCTCCTGAATAACCAATAGGTCACAAATGAAATTAAAAGAGAAATTAGAGTTTCCACAATTAAATGATAATGCCAAACAATATATTAGAACTTATGGGACAAAATAAAAGCAGTCCTATGAGGGAAATTTATAGCTGTGAATTCCCACGTCAGAAAAACAGAGAAAACTCAAATAAATAACCTAATGTTGAACTTCAAGCTAGTAGAAAAAGAAGAACAAGTCAAGCCCAAAGGTTATATGAGGGAAGAATAAGAACAGAGCAAAAGTTAATACAATTGAGACCAAGAAAACAATACAAAGAATCAATGAATCAAAGAGGTGGCACTTTGAAAGATTAAATAAAATAGATAAACCCTTAGGCACCCTTATCATGAAAAGGAAAGGAAAGACTCAAATCCAATTAGGAATTAAAAGGGTGAAATCACAACACAACCCACAGAAATCCAGGAGATCATCAATATCTACTTCAAGTACTTGTACTCTAATAGGATGGAAAATGAAGAAGAAATAGAGAGATTCCTAGATACATATGAATTACCAAGGCTGAATCAAGAAGATATAAAAACAATTCTAAATAAACCAATATCAGTCAATGAAATTTAAGATGTAATTAAAAAATTACCAACAAGGAAAAGTCCAAGTCCTGAAAGATTCCCTGCTGAATTCTACAAGAAATATAGATCTAATGCCATGACTTCTCAAACTCTAATGAAATTGATAGGGAAGCAATCCTCTGAAATCCATTCCTGGAAGCAAATATTACCCTGATAACAAAATGAGAGAAGGATCCAACCAAAAAGAAAACTATAGGCCAATCGCTCTAATGAACATAGATGAAAAAAGATACAGCCAAGCAGAATTCAGCAAATCAATAAAAAAGATTATACACCCTGACCATGTAGGATTCATCCCAGGGATGAAAGGATGGCTCAACATATGCAAATCGATAAATGTAATATACCCCATTAATAGAACCAAGGACAAAAACCACATGGTCATCTCAGTAGATGCTGAAAAAGCATTTGATGAAGTGTAACACCCATTCACGACATAAATCCTACAGGAAATTGAAATAGATGAACTTTAACTCAACCTGCTAAAAGCTATCTATGACAAAGCAACAGCCAACATCATAGTAAATGGACAAAAACGGAAAGCTTTCACCCTGAAATCAGGAAAAAGACAAGGATGGCTATTACCACCACTC